ATCGTCGCACAGTCGTTTGTCGGCTTAGTTACAAGTACATAGCGATCTGCCTATTGCTAACAGCCTTTGCCTAACACACAGCAACATTACCCAGACGCACATGGAGGCGTGATGTCCGCGAGTGACACGGGAACACAGGCTGGGTTCACCCACAAACAACATAACAATAATTGACTAGACTGTTAGGCCTACTGCTGCTACTGTTATCATCGGTTATAAAATCAGAAAAGGGTCAATTTCTGAATTATTGTTCCAACCTATTTTAAAACCATATCCACCACAATGCCACTAGACATAGCGTTCATTCAATACAAATAGGCCCTACCTACTGTTAGTATAGATTATTACAATCTGCTGTATTCAATACGCTTCGCTTGGGCACGATCTGTCACGAAAACCAAGTTGAATCATAGGCGTTATACGACTTACGTATAATTAATGCTGTTTTTATTACATAATTTGCCCATTATAATCGCTAACGTTTACAAATGAGAACGTGTCCTTCCACTTTTCCCTGCTAAACCGTGCTGGTTAGTGCAGTTTATTGGCTGCACAGGATGGTCATTCTCTAACGAAATAAATCTAAAGATGTTTTTCTCGAGACGCTAGAGGTTGTTATAATTATTGCTAGCAGATCGTTCGCCAGCTAGATCAGGGATCCCTTCCTTTCATACGAAGTTGGTAACATAAAGATTATTATAAATTGGTAGAATTAGCGCTCCGCTAGCCTAGCAACGTGACTCGGAGTCACGTGTAAAAAATTATTTTTCGTTATTCTCGTTTTCCCTTAGCTCCATTAACATGTATTCTATATAATATCCATATTATATTAATCTCGGTAGTATGCGATCAAAGTTTTTTTCATGCTAATTTTAATAGATAGAATAAGTCGCGTTTTCTTATTGATTTTCATTGAATGTTGTGGGCACAGACCGGGCAGATTCACGCCGCGGGTGGCTACGGGGCGCGATGGCTATCGCGCTTGTGGGGGCGCTGTGGCCGCAGCGTGCCGGCGCTGTCGTGTGGCGGGTCCAGCTCGTCAGCGCGGCCGCACTGGGCTCGTTGTGCTCGACTTAGTCTTGTGGCGTGTACGACGTCAGGGGCTGTACGCGGACTTTACGCGTGGGGCGACGACGTCGACTGCGTGCTCAGGCGTGTTATAATCTGGATTGCGTAGGTGGCGGTTCGGCCTATGCGGGGGCGGGGCGCTTGTGGCGGCGGGGCGGGGGGGGGAGCGGGGGCGGGCGGGGGGGGGCGCGGGCGGGGGGGGGGCGGGGGGGGCGGGGGGCGGGGGGGCCCGGCGTGAGGGGCGGGGGGCCGTCGGGGAGGGGTCGTTGGGGGGTGCGGTGGGGCCCGTTGAACAGTGGGACAGTGCGCTTGGAAGGCCGCCATCTTTCAAACTTCACTTGTGTGTGAGCTGAATCTGCCTGTGGGTCTGGTGCCCCAGTGAAGCATTTTCAACTTGAAAATAATGAATAACTAGCGATCATTATTCTATTATTCAATATTAGCATGAATAAGGAGAAACTGTTGGATCCATTACTTTAAGGAGGATTAATATAAATCTGGATGTTATAGCGTATTGTTATATAGATACATGTATGGAGCTAAGGAATGAGAAATACACGAAAAATAATTTTTTACGTGAGCGTCTACTGAGTTCAGCGTGTATGCTAGTCGGAAGTGCCTATTCTACCAATTCATAATTATTTCCTTAATGGTTGACCATTTCGTATGAAAACATAATGCCTTGATGATAGAAACATGATGGAAAATGATGTTGAAACATGAAAAGATCGTATGCTTATTATTATATAGTATTTTATGGCAGTATTAGGCCCAGAATATTAGCATATGTATATGAGCATATAGCATGGCATTAGGCACATGTATAATACGTTAATTACTATATTTAATAATTAATATATGCAATATTGCTATAGCCAACCTAGGCGTCGTGTGATATAACGTCAATTATACTAGTACTACTAAGTATAGCTAACATACTGGTAGTAATGACTACTTACTATTGCTACTAGGCTGAATTCTATATATATATATGCAATCGATAGATGAAAGATTAGATGATAGATAAAACATCGTTATCGTGGGACAGATATTATTCGGTCTTAAGGTAAATATAGCACATGTCGGTTCAAGGATAGAGAACATTTTCCCAATAAGCCAATTCAATTTACATCCAATATAAATATAATATTAATCAATATATAATAGATTTAGGGTTATGGTGTAGGGTTAGGGTTTAGGGTTAGGAAATTAGGTCGTTAGAATTGAGGAGTAGGGTTTAGGGTTACGCACAGTTGGTTTTATTTGTAAGTGCGTTGGATCCTTTACACGTCGGTTTCTCTCTGGCGCGTATGGTAAATGTGAAGCACCCGAGTCTGATCCATGCAGATCTTATATACAGCTGGCGAGCGTGGCCTTGCCTGGCTTGCGGAATCCTAGTTGTAGGCTGAGTGTGAATCCTCTGTCCGCGGTGTTGGAGAAGCGGCCCTGGCCCAGTGTCAATGACAGGTATCACACCATAAGGGGGATACCCGAACTTGAGTCCTGCACGGGAAAAGGACCATCAACTCCGCGGGGACAGTTCTCAACTCAACTCCGCATGGGTTAGGGGGAGTTCCAAACAACTCCGCAGGGGAAGTTCCAAACAACTCCGCAGGGGGAGTCTCAACGCACTCCGCGGGGGGAGTCTCAGCAAACTTCGGGAGGGGAGTCTCCACAAACTCCGCGGGGGGAGTTACCACAAACTCCGCGGGGGAGTTACCACAAACGCTGCGGGGGGAGTTACCACAAACTCCGCGGGGGGAGTCTCCACAAACTCCGCGGGGGGAGTTACCACAAACTCCGCGGGGGGAGTTACCACAAACTCCGCGGGGGGAGTCTCCACAAACTCCGCGGGGGGAGTTACCACCAACTCCTTGATTGAACCATCACGTGGTGTGTGGTACGAAAGAGGAAGACATAGAATCGACAACGGAGATGAATTACTTTATGCATCGATCATCGAACCAACGCGTTTAATCAAAGAAGAAACAGATTAAATACACTTACATAGGTGCGCGGATCGGCTCTATAATATAGGTGGACTCATGACACAATAGAACGTGACACAGTAAGGAGCCGGCTCAAGGCACGGCCGATCGAGATGAGTCGCGATGAAACCCAAGCAAAATCGCGAAGTCGTGACGGGAATCCATCGAAATCTTAACTAAAGTCGCGATTAAAATCCGCCAAAACCCCCAGCTAAAGTCGCGATGTCGCAGCTGAAATCCATTTGAAACCTCGTTAAGAACTAGGAACTTGAGTGGCGTAGGCATGGTTGCTAAACGCCCCGAGATGTGGGAATGCTCCGTGGTCTGCGGAACGAATCATCAGTAGCCTGGGTTGACCCTCAGCCATCTACCGCCGTCCGGTGGAGGTCGACGACGGGAGAGCCAGTCGTACAGTGAGTATCACACGCACACACCAAAATTTCAATGTGGGGTAGCTAATTTGGTTTAGCTACATTAAATTTTACATCATGACAACAATACAACTTTTTACAAGTACCTAGCTCCAAGAAACGGTCTTGCTAGGTTTAGAAGATAGACAATCGGTCGCACAGCTTTGTCGGGCTTAGTACAAGTACCTAGCGATCTAGGCTACAGGCCTTTGCTAACACACACAACATACCCAGCACGGCGCAGGGGCTATGTCCGCGAGTGACACGAGGAACACAGGCTGGTTCACCACACAAAACATAACAAAATTACAATACACCTGTAGACTGTAGGCCTACTGCGCTAACGTTATCATCGGTTATAAAATCAGAAAGGGTCAATTTCTGAATTATTGTTCCAAACTATTAAACATATAAAATGCATAGACATAGCGTTCATTCAACTACAAATAGGCCTACTACTGTAGTTAGATTATACAATCTGCTGTATGTCAATACGCTTCGCTGGCACGAGCGTCCACAAAACAAGTTGGTCATAGGTTACGTATAATAATGCTGTTTTTATCATAAATTTGCCCATTTTAATGCTAACTTACAAATGAAATGTCCTTCCACATTCCTTAACCTGCTGGTTAGTGCAGTTTATGGCTGCACAGGATGGCATTCTCTAACAAATAAATCTAAAATGTTTTTCTCGAGACGCTAGAGTTGCTTATAATTATTGCTAGCAGACGTTCGCAGCTAGATCGGATCCCTTCTTTTACGAGCGGAAAGATGGCGGACGTTTAGCGTCACTGACACGTAGCCAATGCCCTATCCAGATTATATTATAGAGATCAGTGGTTTTGCTTCCTAAAATGGCGGACGTGGCGCTCCATTGCGTACTACACGTCATTGCACGTGATTTCGCATGAGTGGTTTATCTTGTTCACTCTACGATCTTTGATATACAGGGCGCGTTTGTTTGGTCGGATCCACGGACCTCGATCCGATGGGTTCGCTGATCGGCCTGTTTGTTTGGTCG